CTTGAAAATTTCTGCAGTCTCTTCTAACCGAAATTTCTGCATTGAATTCGGCAGGCGTATTTATGGCGCACGACGACATTGTAAATTTGAGGCGGAAATGTTGTAGGCCCGTGTGCTCAGATTTGAGTGCACGTTAAAGAACCCTAGGTGTTCGGTATTTCCAAAGCCCTCCACTACGGCGTCTCTCATAATCATATGGTGGTTTTTGGACGTTGAACCCCACATGTGAATCAATCAACATTATAAATTTGTGATAGAGAGCTTGAAGGGTGCATCAGCTTTGCATTTAAAAAAAGTGCGACCGCGATAGCGCTATCAGGACTCCCTTGCAGTGCCTTCTCATTCGCTTGTTATGCTTTGCTTTCCGGTGAACATCACAACCACGCGCCATGAGGTATTATATGCCTGTGCACATAAAAGTGGTCGTGGTAAACTCTCTCAGATTGCCTTATACTGCCTTCACACTTACGAAGTACTCAAACGAGTCTACAAGAAATTACGCACGCTTAGTTATCTACACATTTTGTTGATGCTGTTACTCATATTGATGATGGCAAAAATATCTCTTCTCGCAGTTCGTATACTGTGCTATACTTGGCGTGATTGCACGCTTCTTCCGTACAATGTTACTTGGGTGAACGTCAATCATCGTTCTTCACGACGTAGTATATATTCTTTTTCAGTAGCAGCTGCACGCACTCGCGTAGCTTTCGGGCGGCTAAAATCCTTACCTGTTATATTTCAATTCATGATATCTTCCACTCACAGACAATCCCACCAATGCCAGCTCCAAAATTTCTGCGACACGGGCTCCTCATTGTGACCGCGTCAAAAGAAACACCACGGCGCACATGCATCTATTGTGAACTGCAATGCTCGATGTGTTAGAGATGTCACGTCGAAAAAATTTCAAATATTTCATCATTAGCAAACTCCTTCCTTTATTTAAATAGAGACACTGAATTGATTGTCTCCATAAAAGCGAATAGTACATGCTGAACGACGGGCAACTATATTGACTAAACGTGCTCTTTAGAGGTTGATGATGTTGATGAGTGGCTGGTGTGTTTAAAAAAATGACAGAGACTGAACTTCTGTAGCTAATAAATATTCTTTCAGATGTTAGAATTACGGACTTCACAGCTTTTTCTGCAGCATATTTCACAGTTGCACTAGGGAAAAGATTTATTATATAATTTGAATTATCAGAGAAAGGCATCCTCTCTGGTACAGCATTACATTATGCCGTATCTGCATAACTTTAAAGGCGATTGCTGAGGGGAAGAAACATAAATATAGAAAAATGCATCAGATAAATAAATATACATAGAAGAACCAAACCAAAGGTCGATCGTAGCAATGACGTGCCACAGGACATGACGGCGTTGTATGAACATGTGCCTATTTCAACCACTTTGTTTCGACCCTGAGTGATAAAAGTGGTTTTTCTTGATTATGCATCGGTTTTTGTTGAAACATGATCAGAGAAGAAAAACCGTTGGTTTTCACGCTTGATCCCGGCTTTGGTATGGGTCTAACTTTTGGTTGTGCTTTTCTTCGTCACCCTGGCTATGTATTCATAGTTTATAAAGTCAGTAATGAACTGCCAGACTACTTATGCTTCGCTAATATTGTCTGAAAATTTAAATTTCCTCTTGCATTTTGTTGCTCCTAATCTTCTTAAGCGTACAGGTTAAGCTCTCGCACTTTTGAACGCTGCAGGGCGTATGCAGTGCAACTGTAAGAATTCGCTAGCAAGCTACGAAGAGGAAGTCATGTGCTATTGTTCCCCTATGTCAATCAAAAGGCCTTCAATACTGTTCTTTTCTGCATGCTCCCCCTGAGAACTGAAACATTCTTTATTTTGCGTCTTGCTGGTGACCACTCTGTCTTCCATAACGTCCGTGGGTACCACCACACTTTTTTTTCCTACCGAAAGAGCTCTGCGTCGTTCAAGGAACTTGGCTGCTCGTCGCCGGCCACGCCACGTAAAGTCAGGTCGAAAACAGCTTACGCAGAATAGGGATATCGTATGCGCACGTGTAGGCTAGAAACATTGGCTTCCTGGTGATGCGGTAGTGCAGCACAACGACGGTGCATAGGCTATCTACACATGGGCTTCAGTGGCGCCTTATTGTTTTCCTTACCTGTATTAAAACTTTATAAACTGAACGAACCACGCTATGGTAGAAAAATTCAGTGTTTATTTATTTTGTTGGTTCTGGCAGCAATGTTCTACAATAAACAAAGCCTTTTTGGATAGCCGAATTTGGCGATGCCCTTGATGCAAACCCGTCTATAAACACGATGAACCAGCTTCGCGCGTGCCATAAACTACTGAACTTCATAGTGTCCCACTGTTTGTTGTTGCTTACCTCACCACGTGTTATGCTTAACTCCTTACTGCTCGAAAGAAGCTCGCCCAAAAGTAGTTGCGTAATGCTTGCATCTCTTTTCATTTTCACACTATTGCGTTAAGGGGCAATTGTGCCGATATTTTGGTGTGATTGCTTGTGCAGGTAATGGTATTTTTGGTTGTAAGCGAAAAATCATCTTGTCTGCAACCGAAAAATCGAGAAAGATGCAAATAAAACACATGTCAAAAATACTTTTCTTTGAGTGAGGATCGACCCGAGGTTGTTTGGGTGGCAAACAGCTTTTCTAAGCCATAGAGCCCTGCTGTAGCTTCAAACTGCTTTGATGATGATGATCAAAACTTTATTACTCCCAAAAGAGGGGACGCACCGAGAGGTCGGTTACGCTGCTTAGAGGACGTCAGCGGGGATTCCGTGGAGAGAAAGGAGTATATCAGTTTCATGTAGTGTAAGGCTGCTCAACGCATGTAATATCGCGTGGCAAAGACGTAGAGGTGCGCCAGGTATTAAAATACGTGAATGGCGCTACTAGGGCGTGTTTTAAAGGCCTACCAATTAGAAAGTAGTCAGACAGAATTAATCATCAGAAGCTGGAAAACCATCAACAAATGAGCAGCTGCGTGGGCTCTCTTGTTGCCTTAGAGAAGCGCATCGGTCCTTTGCTGATTCGCAAAAAAAAAAAAATTATGGCGTTGTGGGCACTTGAGAACTGTACTTGCTGTAGACATTCTGAGACAGTTTATAAAGGCCTATGTTACGCGCAGAGTAGTTTGTTTCCTTATGGCCTTATGGTTGAGGCATGCACAGAGAAACGAAGCCAGCCTAGCTCTTTAGAATGTGATGCGTATGGGGCCCATCACGATAATGCGTTCTGCTCTTCAAGGCGAAGCTTAAGCGTCCTTCAAGTTTTTCTTCTATAGTGCATATTTCAAGATTATGTCTGAAGCACCCGCATAAAAGTTCACTCAACTCGTTGCTCTCTTCAAACAGAATATACTGTTTTACTCGAAGACATAATACCACGAAATATTTTAAAACCACCAATAGGCAATGCTAAGACAAGAACAATGCACACGATAAGTTGTACATCTACTCAGGCGTTCGCCATAGCATGTATTTCACATTTTAACTTTAGTTTATCTATGTTTGCGAATACTTAATGACTATGGTCATAATCATCGCCTCCTAAAACCTAAAAGTCAGATGATGTCCGTTTTACAGTAAGGAAGCAGGAAAAGGGAGAGGGCGTACCTGGGCGTACCTGTGCGATTCAGTAGGCTTAGCTGAATGTTTGGAAATATAATTTATTGACTACTCCAGCAGATTGCATTACGCTATGCATCTGTGATACACTGTGCGACAGATGTTTTGATGCTTTGTTTCAGTGTTCTATCGTTTCTATAGGCGACGAAGTGTAGCGAGTGCCATTCAAAGGCACCAAGACCCCGTCAGCATAATAAGGAGAAATCATTCAACAGTCATGATTCCATGAAACATTCAATTTTTTATGCTGCTGAAGGAAGTCTCACAAATTTGTAAGTGCACCTTTCGTACCATAATTAGAATGTTAGCATTCCTATAAGTTCATTCATTTGTTAGTTATCGTTGCTTCATTCACTGACGGCATATACAAAATTGAATATTCACATACAACTGCGATTCTCAGTGAGCAGGCGTGTTCCTTTTGGTTCGAATGCTGGCTCTGATGGCAGCATTTGAACGACGAAATGTAAAACGCTCATACAATATGGAATTTAGTACATAACAAAATAAAACCAATGTTAGTCCTAATCCTCACTGTGTCATTCACTTGTAACCTTAACTGTTGCCATTAAATTTATCATTAAACCAACAAAATTGATTAAATTATTCTATAGGATGCTCGCGAAATTACTCACTTCCGGACTGGGTTAGATTTTACTTTTGGAGAACCGCTATAGTTCTTTTTAATCTTACAGACGGCGTACTCGAGAGCTTAAACATCCGAGCGTGATAAAATGAGAAACTTCGACCGTGTTTATGATTGTCAGAGCAGCAAACAATGTACAAATAACACGATATGTAGCCATTTGAAGGGCTGTGCCTCATGGTGTCAACGTGCTCTCTTGCAAAATGGTGCGCGAAATTCAAGTGTGGTTCTCAGTTGACAGTCAACAAGATAGCATGAGCGCAACCCTGGCTTGCTGAATGCATTCCTGAATAATATAAGCTCCGTTCGTGGGGCATTTTACAATGAACATGTCAGTCATGCTTCCATTTAATTAATACAGGGCAGACTCCGTCGCAATCTCTTATCAATATATATATATATATATATATATAATATATATATTTATTTTTGTGAAATTTGCACTTGCAGCAACGTTATAGGTTTCATTAGGGTTGCACTTTCGTTTATTTTGAAAGATTAAGGATTGAGGAATCATTTCAGAGAGTGCAGAATTCTTTTTAATAATGTACACCTACTTAAAACTGTAGAATGAGTTCTTTGTGCTGATGCGTGCCGTGGGCAAGGTGGCCCGCGAAAACAGTGCTGCAGCGTAGACGGAAATAAAAAAGAGGACCAGCGAGGGGGAAGTTAATCGGTCGGCACGCGCCACAAACAACGAAGGAGCGGAAAGACGACCAAGCCGTCGGCTTATTCTCGACTGTGCATCCGTCCTCTTTTCGTGCAGTAGTCAGCTGGTGGCTTGCATACGAGGTGGTTGGATAGTGGCGTCCGTTTTGTGGTGACTTGGACGAGCTAAGCCCCTGCACCAGCGACTGAAGGAGGCGTTGGCCGCCACTGGATCCCGCTGCTTCTTCCTACTTCGGCTGCCGTATACAACGAAGCGAGGGTGACCGTTTGTAGGTCGCCGCTAGCCAGCAGAGGTGAGGCACTGGTGGTTTCACAAGCGCGCTTGTTCTGTATACCGGCACTTGTCTAATGCCATGGGTAATGGTGCAGCTTTTATTGATATATTTACATGTGCCATTAACGCAATGTAACCACCATTTAGCGTACGACACTATCTCTCTTGGTGAAAGCATAAAGTGAACTCAGTCATGCAAGGTACTATAAATGTGTCATTACTGAGGAACCACACGAAAAAAATTACCGACTATCAACTGGCTAATTTTCATGCATTAAGTTAAGCACAAACGGGCGGTTACTAAACGCTGACGCGCAACGTGTTTCATTTATGTAGTTCAAACACTATGTGCTCGTTCATGTTTTGCGAGCGTAATATGACATACGTAGGCGTTAACGCGTAAAGTTATAGGACAGAGCACAGCTCAGCGTCGTCGGTTAACCTTACCTGAGTGCCCCGCCGCAGTTGTCTAGTGGCTAAGATACTCAGCTGCTGATTCACAGGTCGTGAGATTGAATCCCGGTGGCGGTGGCTGCATTTTCAGTTGAGCCTAAAATGCTGTAGGCCCGTGTGGTCTGATTTGAGTGCAGGTTAAAGACCCCCTGGTGGTCTAAATTTACAGAACCCTCCACTACGGCGTCTTTCATAATCATATGGTGGTTTTGGAACGTTGAACACCACATATAAGTCAACATCAAACAATCAACCATACCTGAGTGTCAGCTCTGCTGTTGACATCCACTTTACCCAGAGTCAAACAATCTTGATCGTCTACTATATTCCCGCAGTACGCAAACTGCAGAGCATGGCACCTGCTAATCATTTCGTTAATAGGCGCCATGTGTCCTCATAAACCAGAAACACTAAGGAAAGTGGCTCGTTTTAAATGGGGCAGAGCAAGAGGTCATTCACGGCGCTTCCAGATCTCTATCTAGGTGAATGTGCATGAAGCTCTATTTTTTAAGCTGTTACCTACGAAGTTTCTGTAATGCCACGACAGAATTACTGCATGGGGAGTTCCCATGCAAACTGAATAGGAAGGCCAACTTATTCCACAGAAACTTGTCGGGCTGGGTAATTATAGTTAAAAAGGCTCTCCAGCCACGCTTACTCTGTTCATTTTAAATGCATTTCAATATTAGAACATGAAAAAGGAATGAAGATTATGGTCATAATAACATATAGCATTATTAGCGCACAACCACAAGTATAGCACAATGTGTGAATAGCAAAAAAGAAAAAATCTATAATGCACAACAATAAAAAGTTTGTCACAACAACGACAAAAAAACCACGTCGGTCTGGCTTAGCTGTATTGATTGCCAAACGCTGAAGTCACGCGGTCTAGAAGTACACGTTACTTGATTAGTCGGTTCAATTTGAAGTACAATCTACAAAAGTACGGCAGTTTCTTCAAGGAAATTACGCGGAAATTGGTCAAGGGGAGCACGAACTCTAATTACACTGCTTATTTATCAAATGCTGCATCGAAGTTTGTAGGCATCGACATGCGCAGCAAACTAGACACACATCAAGAGCGGATATCACCCTAATCCCAACCTGCGATGTAAAAGGTAATTGCGCTACGACTGCTAAACATACAATCAAGTGTCACTGTTCAATTAGGAACTTCGCACTTTCATACAGATTACCACCGACAATTCACGAACACCAGTGTCCCTGCTTCAACCAAAAATCTGAATCTTATTTAGACACGACATACGCTTATGTGAACGGCCGTGGGTCAACAAATGTGCCCCATGTTCACCTTTTAGCAAAGGCTCGTGTTCCAACGGCCACTCATTTTCGCGCCTTCCCGTCTGGTCGACATACCTTTTGCCGCACCATAGCATAAATTGAGAAACAACGCCAGTGAAACATTTCGTGTACGATTCTGAGTGCTTCTTGCCGCAACCATTTGCGTTGTTTCCATCAGTTAGTGAACAGAATAGCTGAAACAGCTGCCGCGGTGCCGAAAAAAATTCAATTGACGTCGCAAGTCTCTTAACGAGCTCTTAATTGCGATGCCCTACATATCGAATATGCAAACAATTTGAACGTTTATATTTATGCGTATATTTGTCTATCTAGGCACCTACATATGGGTGCTCTCATCATTACCTCCTTAAATTGCGGTTCACTGACAAAAATTTGTATAGGAAGTTTAGAAGGTTACGCAAATATTTCTGGCTGGTCCTATTATGAATAACTTGAAAATCACGTCGCGAACGTCTTCAAACTCTTTCCTCTGAGCTTGTGGCACATACCCATTCAACCATGTGCCACAGGTGACTGACAGTTCATACCTACTCAGGAAGGGAATAACACGCACTTCTCATTTAAATAAGAGACTGTTAATGAAAAAATTCGGCACATTCCACGCACCTTCGGAATCGGCGTTATGCGAAGCATGCGAAGAGAGAGTGGCGGTGGTGTAATTTTTTTCATTGAGCGACACGTCATGAAATCACTTGCCGTACCTCGACCGGAAAGGTCGAGGTACAAGTGACTGCTCAAAGTAACAGAAGGCAAGGAATAGTGGTGTCGCTCTTCAGGGACACCATAGCGAGGCGACGTTTGGTAACCAGGTGGGCGAAAACTACGCTTGTAACTGGAAGGTGGCTGATTTGAGAAGCCAGCCTGCAGTGTGCCTCGGTATTCATGGGCGTCTGCTGCATTTACTGATGGTCGCCATGGAGCAAGAGTAGCCAGAGTTCGCACACGTTATGTTTTTTTTTTTGCGTAAGCATCCTGAGAAACGCTGGGGCAATGACAGGTTCACTCACACCGAAGCAGATCAATTTCAGATGGCCAAAGCAAGTCGTTGGGTGGCAATGTCCTCATACTAACTATGGTTGGAATGTTGCGAATTTTGGAGAGATCTGTCACATCTTCGGCAATTCAAAGGTATGACAGTGTTTAATCATGCCGGAAACGGAGTTCAGGCTAACTTTTCCAATTAGGAATTGTGCACATCTTTAGAAACACGCCTGAGAACGTGTCTAACCTAGTCTTTTGCTGAGGCGTTCACTATCTTTCACAGCTTGAAGAATTTCTCGATGTATGTCGCACACGTCTCTCTAGGAAGCTGTGCCCTCTGAGACTTTGTGCTCCGCCAGTTCTTTCTTCGCATGAAAATCCCCGAAGCACTTTTGCACTTCCCCGACAAAAAGTTCCCAAGTCGTGAACATGTGTGCGTGGTTCTCGTACTACTTTAGGGCGGTGTCGTTTAGCTAAAACACAACATGACTCAGCTACGCGTTCGGGTCCTAGTCATTGCTACTGCTCATGCGCTTATACACGTCAATGTCTTTCTCTGAGGTCCCGCCGAAGTTTGGCTGCACTCAGTACGTATATGGCATGGAACTCATCAGAGTTGGTGTGGAAGCATCAGAAGTCTAGTCTTGGGACATTTCGATTGGAAAAGGCGGGAGTCTGGTAAAACGGCAGCTGCCGCAAAGTCTAGGTAGTGAAGCTTCCGCCATTGGGTTCATATTAAGCAACAACTTGTACGTAACGATATTACCATGGGTGTTTCAAGAAATTTTAATCAAATTTTAATAAAGCGCACAACTTCAGCGTGCTCATCACCTCTCAACATTGCGTAACAATGCGCTCTGTCGAAAATTTCAGGCGCTGTGAGGTATATTAGGGTACGTATAGCAAACACGTATTCTTCATGATAAAAATATATGCGCTCAGTTATTCAGTTGCATTACCACGCGGACCTTTCTAAAGATATATACGTATGTTTTCAAGCTGAATGCTGCATTTAGGAAAATGTCTATTCTGAAGGATCATTTCTTAATATTTTGTACACTGGATATATGGTTGTTTATAATAGCTATCAAGCAGAAGGTAAGCGCTCGTAGAAGGGAGCAATAAGGGGGCACTTCTGCAGGCTCCAAAAACATCGACCAAAAACCGCTTTATATTGGTTGGCACTTCTTGTTGAACAAGGGCGGCGGGTGAACAACGGACAACAACAAAACTCTTACGTGCGGCATGAAAAGCCACCATGGGTAGTCATTGAAAAAAAGTGCAGTTGCATCATGCAAAACATAGCATGCTGTGCATTTAAGGAATTAGTGTGATTTGTGTGATTTGACTATGGTCACCAGATTCCAATTCTGCACTCCAATTACCCAATTTTTCTTGGCCAACACCATGTCCGCTTTCAAGTAAATTTCCTATAAAAGTTCAACATTATCATATTTACGCACAACTTTCTTAGCGAATGCTTCCTCATTTTCTGCCTGTGTTCATGTGCACTGAAGTACACGCAAGAGTTTATATACTAAAAATGAATACAGCAGTAATTTTTGGTACAGTAGCGCAACAGCCCTACCATTTAACCATTTACTGCAGCTGGGCATGTCTTCCTATAGCTGCCAACGTCAACAAACGTTAAGATGACCACAGATTTCTTAGAGATGCACGGAGCTGGAGACAACATGTGTGCGCTGTAGTTTTCCTAAGACGAATAACGCAGAAGCCAAAGGTGTGTGGCTCGACGCTTTCCCTACTATCGTAGTCAAGACACTGGTGGAAAAATACCACCCGAGACGAAAATGAGGGAAAGGAAATGCAGGCATGTAAACCAGTCTGGAATGACCGCTATGCTACCTGTACACTGGGTATATGTATAAGAGAGTTTAAAAGATGGAAAAAGGGAGAGAGAGAAAGCACGCAAACAAGATGTATCAAAACTACGCACGTGTTCTTTGTACGCAGAATGTGTTTCTGGTTCTACAACATTGCGGTTTTTCATACATGTTGAGCAATAGTGATTCCCTAATCAGCCGGTGCCTCAGCACATGAATATTTTTGAAACTTTTTATTAGGCAAGCGCTTACCCACTAGCACAGAATTATAGGTGTTATGCGCACTATATAATAGGTTTAGCAAAAGTGAACCAAGGTCTTTTCAGGCCAAGCAAATCAGCTTTTGGGCATGTAGATCCCAGATCTTCCTGATAAAAGCCGGCAGATCCCACGTATCTTGGAAATTCAGGCTATG